TTGGTCTTTCTCTTTCTTTACTGCTCGTTAGATAATAGATAGGTACTAGTTTTTTGGTTCGCGCTTCGCAGTGGTAATCATCCCTCCAGAAGTTTTACGTAATGTATAATGATTACGAAAACCTTACATGATACGTTTGTTTAATTGTTACATACGAAATATTTATCTCTCCATAAGCTTTAAATAATGCATTTTAATGTAAGTAACAGTTATAAAACTGTGTCACGTAAATATTTCGTAATGTGTGGTCTAATAAAAAGCATCTATGAAGAGTACCACATTTTACTAAAATGTTATCTGGGAAATAACAAACATTTAAAAACATTTAAAAAGTTATAAAATAGTGTTACATAAATATTTTATAATGTGTGATCTAATAATATCTCTCCATAAGCTTTATATATCTCTCCATAATATCTCTCCATAAGCTTTAATTAACAAAAAAACAATTTACCAAAAGTACTACATACATTTGACTAAAATGTTATTAAAAAATAAAAAATATTTAAAATGTATAGAATAGTGTTACGTAAATATTTCATAATGTGTGATCTAATAATAAGACCAATTTACAGAAAATTACATTTGATTAAAATATCTATCTCTCCATAAATTTTACGTAATGCATACGCAATGTACGTAACTATAATTAGAACAATTTAATTGATTGTAAGCGACATTTTTGTAAGGAACTGTGTTCCTATTTTTTAGTTTCTTTTTTTTATTAATTAATAATAATTAATATATATCTTGTATGTATGGGCATAGAGTGGTGTGTCAGAGCTTTTATAAAATAAGCCAAGAAACAGTTAGAAACCCGCCTTTTTTATTTAGGATGATTATAATTATGATAAGTAGAGATTTAGTTAAATTATGATTATTATTATTAGGTTTTTCTTATATTTTTTTTTATAAATATGTATGTAGGGTTTTATTATCAATCAAACAAAAAGAATATTAAGAAAACTATCCAACTCTAAACCTCTCTCTCAATTCTTTTCTTCCCCAAAGGCCGCCGGCTATTCTCTCTATTCTTCTCCAACTTTGTTCTTCAACCCTAAATCCTCAATTCTTATCTCTACATCCCTAATTTCTATTCCAAATTTCTATTTTCTCGTCTAATCGCGGGTGCTGAAGATGATCAGTCGCTATAAGTCCTAGAAATAGGGTTTCTAATAGTGGTATCAGAGCCCGATTGCAGGTACTCATACTAGAGTCATGTCGAGATTCGAAGGGCTCTCAACGAGAGAACTTGCAAAATCTCTTAAATTGGAATTGGAAGCTGTGAACAACCATAGAGAATAGAGAGGATCCCAACCCTGTCGTAAACCGTAGCTTGCACCGCAATCGAACAGCTGATCGCAAAAATGGATTTCGAAGATTGGTTTGAACAATCCACATTCCCAATCGAGCTCAAGCGAGTTGGAACACACACCGCGTGATGCTGGTGTCGATGGAGGGGTTGATGGTAGCGAATTCGGCAGCCACAAAGGACACGCCCCACCATCGACCACTGCTGCCAAGTCTGCAACGAAGTCAGATTCGGTTAAGACGGACGAGGAAAAATGGGCTGTCATATCTTCGCTAACTATGTCTGTCGCTATGAAGAAGGAACATGGAAGAATCATTCTTTCTTATCTTCCTTTAGAGACATCGAAATCCCCTACAGAACTGGAGCTTGTACAGGAAAAGGATAAATCTGACAGTCGTCCAGAGTGAGGGCACCAGATTGGGAGCTGGGCTGTTTAAAACCTTATCAAACCACCATTTTGGTGGCCGCTGGACAATCCACCATCGAGGACTACTGGAAGGAAGAGTAGGGCCCGCGTGGTTCGTCGCATGCGGCGAGATCCCGAAGCTGGCTGGTGACAGGGATGCCAAGGACGATGCTGATCATTGGGGAGCTGAAGACGGCGGAGGCTTCGGACTGACCGTCGTGCGTTCGAGCGGGTCGGTCATCACCGAGGACTGGTTTGCCAAAGCGGAAGGTCAAGGAGGTGGAAGTCAACTACAATCTTGAGGGCGAGGTTGCTTCCAAGAGGGGTGAATTGTTAGAAACCCGCTTTTGGGGTTTCTCTTATTATTTATTAGTAGGATAATTATAATTATGGTTCGTAAAAAATTTAGTCGAATTAGGATTATTATTAGGTTTTCCCCATATTTTCCTATTAATATGTACTTGTGGTTTCATTATCAATCAATGAAGAAGAATATTAAGAAAACAATCCAACCATGAACCTCTCTCAATCCTCTCAATTCTGATCCTCTTCTTCCCCAAAGGTCGCCTGTCATTCTCTCTGTTCTTCCCCAATTATGTTCTTCAAGCCTAAATCTCCAATTCTGTTCTTCAACCCTGTATAATAAGAATATTGAAAATTTGTTTATTTGAGTATTTTTTTAAATTGAGTGCATATGAAAACTTTTATATTCAATCTTATTTGTTGATCCAAAATTATCATCACATTTTAGTTAATACTCAACATATTTGGTATCAAAGCTTATACTCTTCTATCCTCCCAAAATTCTCATTTTCTGGCATAGAAAATTTCTCAAAAAGCCATTATAGTAGGTTCACCAAACACCATGATTGCTAATTCTTCAAATCAAATTCTCATTTTTGATGAAGTTGTACGAGCACTCGAGTGTCCAAATGGAGCCTATTTTCATTTCTCAGGATTTGTGAGATTTAATCGTAGAAGGCTATGGCGATCCACAGCAAGAGGAAGAATACTCCAAGAAATGGCCAGGCGAGTAGACAAAGGCATACAAGGATAATGCCAAGCAAAATGCTAGTGTCCTAAGAATTATTCGGCAAGCTGTGACCAAAAAATTTTCCCAAGAATTTAATACATCAAAAAGACCAAAGAAGATTGAGATGTCTTGCATGAACAATTTCAGGGTTAAGAGAAGGCAACATCCATTAGATGTCAGCAGTTATGGTGTGAGTTTGACAACTTGATGATGAAGGAAACTAACACAATTAAAGACTTTCATTCTCGCGTGGAAGAGACAGTCATCCATATCAATGTAGAAAAATATGGTGGGGGGACTTCAGTGGTGGACCCATGAATTTTATATAGGGGTGTCCTCTTTTAAAAAATAAATTAAATAACATAATTCTCAAATAATTAATAAAATTTAAATAATTCTTATATAAGAAAATACCTGAATCGTACGAGTTGAAAAAATTCCACGATGTGTTTTCATATTTAAAAATAGCTGTAAAATACACTTGGTGTTTACACTGCTCAAAAAAATTGTCTTTGTACATCCTACTATAATCATTCACGAATTGATCACATATTCAATTTTTTCACTTTTTCTTGATGTAACTCAAAGCTGAAAAGACTCTTTCAACACTTGTCGTACAACAATGTTTAAAATAATTTGTTTAAATGTTAGCTTTTGAAAATAATTAGAGATAGGGAATAACATTTTACTATTACACAGTGTTTCAAATCGAACAACAAATAAGTTGTAGCCTAAAGAAAATTATTTTTTATTAATAATAATAGTGTCCTGGGTTTGAATTACTCAAACTACAACCTATATTCCCATAAGCAAACTAAAAGATGAGAGTATGATAATTATTTTTTCAAATTTCAGGGGTGTCCCCGACTATCAGTTATAATTTTTTTGTCCATACGTAATTTATCACTGGGGGTTGGATAATCGTTTTTCCAAAATTTAGGGGTGTCCTGGGACACCCCCAATCATGCGTGCGTCCGCCCCTGGGGGACTTCCTCGTATCAACAAAGAAGACAAAATCTATGAAGTATGCATATATGAACAAATGCACCGTTTACCATTTCCAAAAACTTCTTGGAGAGGAAAAGCTTCATTTGCGTTGGTACATGCAGACATATGCAATTTAACCAGAACACAATCACTCACCGACAAAAGATAGTTTTTGCTATCTGTAGATGGCCACATCGGAATGATGTGGATATTCTTTCTGGAGTAAAAGTTATAATTTTTTCAAGTTTCTTCAATTCCAAACTATAGCTTAGAAAGGAAAGTGGTCATCAAATCAAAACACTCCGAACATATCATGGAAAAGAATTCATATATACTCCATTCATGGAGTATGGTCTGTTACACTACAACAAAATGGAGTTGCATAACGGAAAAACCACACAATTGTGGAGATGGCGAGAAGCATGCTCAAAGGCAAAAAGCATCCCAAAAACTTGTGGGTAACTGGAATAAGAAGTCTATGGGTAACATTTGTTACATACATTCATGCCCAAAGTGAAGACTATATAAAGGTAAGTTGTAGGTAGTTTGATTTTCAGCCATAATTATTTCATTTAGCTAGCGAGCAACATCTTGAACCAATAAGCCGAGGATTTGAGATGTCTTTTTAGGTTGTGGGCAAAATCAACGTAAGTGATCCCAAATCTTATTGACAAACCAGCATCCCATTCGAAATCATCGAGGAAACACCAAACGTAGTACCCCTTTACCTTCGCTCCCTCCCTGGATCCAATCACATACATACGCAACAACAGTAATTAGCTGGTGCAATCCAATACTTATGCTAGTTTGGTTTTGGTGATAATTAAATTGACGTATTATCATCAATGCATACATAATAATATACATGTATATAAGGAATTTAGTTTATTGTATTTTACATCGTTTGATTTATGTGATAGTTATTGTAGTATTTATGTAAGTTATATTACTTTTGGGTGAAATAACGCTTCTATCCTTTGTTTTTTATATAAGAAAACAACATACATATAAATGTAGAGATATACTTGGAAGAAAATAAAAAGACTCAACAATTTCAATCAAATTATCTCAACAATCTCAAAAAAAACTTGAGATTTAACTATCACTCGTTTAGAGTGATAGTTTGTGTCATTTCAAACAAACAATGCATGTATTTTTTATGCAAAAATAAAAAAAAAACAATATATTGTAGACATTGCATATATTATAACTATTCCAACCAAACAATACCAAAACCAAACTAACCCTTACTTTATGGCCATCAAAAGATATTGGAGGTGGGTGCTGTGGTATCTTATCCTCAAAGCATCTTTAAGAGCCATTTCAAGTGGCAGTGCATGATTGTCAGCCAATCCTGCACCCATCACCAGATTACATATACCCCACGCTCGTCAACGTAAGGTAACTCCAATAATATTGATAATTAATTGGGACATATATAACGTACCATTTTCAGTTACATAAATTGTGGGATTGTGGTAGTTGTTTTTTACATACAAGAGAAGCTCCTGGAACCCTTTGGGATAGATGAAAAGCCAGCTCAAACCCGTCTGCATGAATTATTACTATTAATATTATAAGCATATGCACGTCAATGTCATGGTAATTGCAAGAGAGAAGAGATTGACAAAGCCAGCTAGCTGTAGGAACAAGACTTATTATTATTATTATTATTATTATTATTATTATTGTTGTTGTTGTTATTATAGTGCCAGCCGGTATCAACAAATTGATAATGAATGAATGGTCCATATATACCGGTGTGCCAATGGGAATCCCGTCCTTGTCGGCTGTCAAGACAAAGAAAAACAGCCACGGCCCAATCAATATCTATCGATACACTATTATATATATATATATATATCTACAGTATCATTTATAGCTGAAAAGTAAAACTGACACCACCATTCAAAATTCCCTGCTTTTAGAGTGATTTTCGGAGGCTGACGTGGTACGGTGGTAGGCCATTTAGGCGGGCTTTCTTTCCTCTTTCATCTTCCGTCAATTGGATTTATTTTCCTCAACTGTTCCCGTAGCCATCCTCCCCGTATTTCTCTCTCCTTCATGCAGCAAAGTGCACACCGGTTCCCTATCTCCCCTGAAACCTATTCCCCTTCCCGCAGCAATGACAAACTCAACCATAATCTGTGGGCGACCAAACTCTTTCATTCCCATCACCACCACCAGTTCCCTCAAGGTCCCTGTTGTCTTTGTCGTCGTCATCAACTTCAACTACCAGGAGCCCACTTTCTCCTCTTCCTATAGGGTTCCTAAACTGCATCCCCATTCTTATAACCACCTCGGTTTATGGATTCTATTCGGCGAGCTAGGACAGCGGGTTCCCGACGATGATTTCCCGCAGATTTCTACTCTTCCTTCCGAACTTTGTTTCCTGCTCCTTACATGCTGCTCGAAACCAAAATCTCACTTTGTTGAAGGATTCTCCATCGCTTCTGTGTAACCGATTCTTTGCGTTAGGGGCCACCGATCCGGCCTCAGTTTCCCGATTGGTGCGGGTGTTGTACATCAACGTCAAACGCTGTTGCCCGGTATTCCTTCGACAGCTGTGATTGCAAGTAAGTTCTCATTTGTTTTTTTAATTATCTGTCTAGGGCCATCAGGGTGTAGCCGATTAGTGGTGGAAGCTAGGGATTGTGTTCCATTTTTAGGTCCATATATTTGGTTAGATCTAATGTCATTGGTTCGAATCAGCATAATCCTTCCACTGCCGACATATACATAGCCATCACCTTCCCTCGACTGGATTTGGCGTAGCTGTTCTTTGTTCCTCCAACAGGGTGCGATAGATGCGTCTGGGGTTTGTTGCTGATCGGCCGTCTTCGAGAAGAATGTCGGAGGTTTGTATATACAAATTTATGATAAAATCTTATCACTGAACATCTTGATTTTGACCTTCATGAACTCAGTTCCAGTTAATTACCCGCACAGAATTCACACCTAGCTTTGTCTCATTGACGCGGTTGAGGGTTTAGGAATCGGTTTTCACTTTGAGAACGAGATTAAGTTGGCTCTGGACGACATTTACAGAAGTTCGCAACTAGGAGAAGATGAGATATCCATTGACCCCACAACTTGCTCCATGGCCTTCCAGATATTGCGATTCCATGGACACCCTGTATCTGTAGGTACTTTAATTATTTGTTTGTGTGTGTTGAATTCACTTTTGTGAATCACCTACTGGTGGGATTATTAATCAATTCACGAATTTGGGCAAGTGCTTAACGTTCTTAGCTATCCATTCCACTCCGGTTTGGCACCTGTGGCTCGCAAAAGAAACATTGAGCAGAATTGGACATAGAGCTCAAGGCTCCTTAAAATTGTCATTCAGGTTTTGCATTCACTTTCTTTGCTTTTTTGTTTATTTCACTAGCAATTTGAATATATTATACCATCATTTGCATGGATCGATGTGTTTCAGTTGATAGGATGTTATACCCACAAGTAGTTGTAGTTTTTATTAGCCTTTCTCTGGCGGCATTTTGGTCTGTTTCCATTGATTTCATGTCGACGACTATGGCAGATCGGGATCTAAAATCTTTTTGCTTCTATTCATTTGTTTTTCTGTGTACATTTAGCTCTGGATTTAGTTCGGCATTCAATCTGCTACTGCATTGTGAACTATACTTTTTAGGACTTGCGCTTTTCATAGTAGTTGTCAAAAGGCAGGGAAGGCCTATGATCTCCCGCAGATGGAGAGAGGAACATGAAATGTACCAAGATTGAGTTCCACAGTATAGTCTCCTACAATGTTAAATGTACTGGCTACATTGAGTGTTCTGCCATCACCTCATTTCTAACAAGAAAAACTACTACTTTCCTATCAGGTGATGATGATTGTGCATGGAAAGCATTTTGATTGTTTTTCTTTATGCTTCTGAATATTGGTTGGATTGGATCCGAAAGTTGGTTGACCAAACTGAAAAATTTACCAGGAAGGCAAGCGTGAAGCTTCTCGATATTGGTTGTGTGCTTCTGCAACAGCTTCTCTTTGCCTGTTGTTGTGTTGAAATGGATGAGACTAAATGCACAGGAAACTAGATATGTAGTTCTTAATTCTTAATATGTGTTTTTTTGCTGTTGGACGAGACCAATGGACAGTTTCAGGTCATTCTTCTATATGCACTTCGCAGGCCCAATGTCATATTCAATCCCACGCAGATTCAGGCTGCAGTGAAATATTATGACATGCTATTCATTGCAAATGAGGTAATCTGTACTTTTGTAAGGCTTGGAACAATGTTTTTGCCTCTGTTTCAATCTATTAGTTGTATTATATAGTTGTAGGATTTCATTTTTGTCTGTTTTTACAGCCAAGAAATACCCTCTTTCGTCATGAATGACTAAAGATTTAGTAGCTAAATATTTGCTGCATAATGGGGCATTTGTAGTTCATTTGCTACATTATGTTTGCTGCATAATGGAAGCCTTCTGTTGCATCCAGACATTCACATTTTCCTGTTGTCATTCCCATACAATTAACTACAACAAGCTAAGCCTCTTTATTGTTATTAATTTAAAAGAAGTAGCAGTGACATGAAGTTAGACTGGGACAATATCATTAGTTTCAATCTTCCAGGTTCTTTGTTATTGGTATCTAAGTATCTTTAATGTCTCAAGCTCAGATCGTAAGATTTTGTGATTACTGCTTCCACTACTCAAATTCAGTTATGAGTTTCTACCTGTCGTTGATTTCTATTAAATCTTACTTTGCCTTAGAATATGTCGCTCTTGCTTTGAAAGGTCTTGCTGATTGATATCATATTAGGGTGATACCATATTCTCTAACCGCCAAGAGGAAATGCAAGAAAAGGGACATATCCCTTTCCTTTGTCGCACCTGATGTGTCAATTCGCTCTATATTGTATTATACTGACAATGTGTTCACTATCCATCGATCTGCTGACACAATTGTATTTTCCCCTGTTGGATGCATCAGACTTAGCAAAGGTCATACCGAACCGCAAGCTACACATCATCCAAGGTGCTGATCATGGATACCGTTCTCATCAAACCTCCTCACACATAGTTTTGGAGTTCATAAAATAAATATTGCATTAGCCAAACACGAGCTTCTGGATATGCATGCAATAGTTGTAGTTGTTCTTATTAATATCATATAGTAGCTGCTGATTGATATCATATTAACCTCTCTTTAAAGAATTCTTGAAATTCTGATGTATTAGACACCGTCGAGACTTTCCAGTGGCAAGAAGTTTTTATGAATTCTTTAGATTTAATAATCCCTGCAGGGATCAATGGTATAAATGAGGTTTTTATGAAGTTTTTATGATACCCTTTGATCCCCATGGTTTCGTGTTGCTTTTTGGCTTATACTCCGTCTTTTGAATTCCGCTTCTTAATCATTGTCCACCAATAATAATTATGAGATCAAAATCAGTGGCTTGATGTTGTATTCATATTGTTTCTTTGTAAAAGTTTTTATATATTTGTTTGTAAAAATTAAGAACTTACCGTATTTACTAGAATTGAGCTTTTAAAATAAGTGGGAAATTAGTGAAGCTCTAATCTCATACACAATACATCTCTTTTTCCCTGTTAGAGTAGCAAACTTGGTGTAAACTAACATATTTTGAAATGTGACATCTTTGACAAGAAGGTTTTCAACATACAAATCGATGCTCCGTTCATATTTACTTTCAGAAATTATTCGAGTTTTTTTGCCTACAAGAATTTATGTGGATTGACCCCTATTTTCTGGATTTGTCTTCAATTTTCACGACTCTAGCTTTGCCCACGGTTATGCCGCCGGTCATTATTCGAGTAGAAAACTTACATCATTTTATTTAGTAAATTATTTTTCTTAGTCGATACACATGTACAAGGAAAGACCTTGCTGTTTTCTATCAATGTAAAGAGAGAGAAATGGTTTTTTACCAGTATAGTAAGATGTCAACATGTCTGTTATTAGTAATTTAATCAAAATCAGAATTAAAACCTATTTAAATAGTCGAAACAATATCTCAAATATACTAATAAGCCAAATTCGTTAGTGCATGAACGCACATACTCTTTAAATCCAAATCGATGCATCATTACTTAATCAAAATCAAAATCTAATTATTACTCTTCTCAATCGGCCAACGGACCGGGATAAAATCTAGAGAGGAACAAGAAATTCGTTAAAAAGAGAGAGACAAAAATGGATCTATCTATCTATATCTATCTATCTATAACATATATTATGGGTGTTTTCTACAAACAATTTGCCACGTCAGTCAAAGATGATCTCTTATGACTCCACTCTATTGGCACTTCAGACTTCAGAGCCTGTTTTCGCTTTTAATCATCTCTTTTTTGGCCCGTGCATGAATGGAGTCCAACTGTAGTAAATGTTCACTTCTCCATCGCCACTGAAAAACTATCTCCTTGCAAATTTCTTTAATTAGTTATTTAATAAATTCAAATAAAATAATGCATAATTTATGATCATCCCACCCACGTACAAGCAATTCATTCCTTTTAACTTTTTATTTCCTTTTTTAATCAAGTCCATCCTTCACTTTTTATTGGATATAGTTTAAATTAGAGCTTTCAATCGTTTTCTCTGATTAATGGAGACATTATAATGCATGCCATCGCTGCGCCGCCGGTTTGTAAAATTTTACCGTACCTATTGAGAAAACATCCTATCATAGTTTAAAATTCTAAAAATATTTTAGCGGTATAAAATGGACGAACCACAATTAAATCACAATTTCAGTATAAAATATTTTATAGTTGACTTTTCCGGTACAACTTCTGGTATGGTTTTACAATCCTTATAAATTATGTATCTTCTCTATTTTTATTTTAAGTTCCAGCCTTTTGTGTTTCTCTAAACCAACAAATGGAAAATAAAAATTTAGTATATATATGGCAAAGGCTAGCATATGTGTCTTTTGATCATATCGACGAATCATAACCGTTGATTTTCATTTCAAAATTAAATGAATCTTATGGTTTAAGTTAGAGAATTGAGGACTGGGGTTCACCCTTTGGAGGTTAGGTATAGTATTCAGGTTCATTCACAGTCTAAATAACAAAACACGACAGGGGTATGATAATTTAAGCGCGCATCTGAACCACATATATATTAAGAAGTGGAGGCAAAATCAAAGGTACGACATACCTTGGGTAATAAAATAATATCTAGACCTTGAATTAACTACAATTTGGGAGATGACTTAACCCTCAAAAATCTAGATCTTAATTCTATATATACATCTCATACACTAAGATTAATTTAATTGGAAATAATATTTGACAGTCATGATTCATCAATTTTATATGCTCGATTTTAGTGTTTAGGGTCTATGATTTAGATAAATAAGATCTTGGGTTCACTCATTAATTGTTAGCGTACAATATCATAAATGTCTGAAAATTTGACATTAGATGTTGCATTTAAATAACATGATTTGTTTTTTTAATATAGTACTTTAGTTAACTATATATGCAAATTATTAGAAGATTGTTTTAAGATAAATTATGCACAATTCTTTCTTTTTCATGGCTTTCAAGTACATTTATTAGCAACAATGTTTTTACTTTTTTCAAATATAATTCCAATTTATTTGTTTTCCTTTGATATTGATTAATATAATTCCTTTATTTTTTTCTTAATACGTGAAAATTGAAAACCTTGAGCTATAGTTGGAATCTAGAGCAAAGTTTATCAACAAATCAACTTTTTAGTAGATTAAAAATTCGAGTCCAGAGCTAGCTAAGAATAGTAATCCAAAATTAGTTGTAGATTATGCTCAATTGACGGGAAAGAGAAGTCCTATGTTTGGCTCGCTTTTAAAAGTGTTTTTCTGCTTCAAAAGTCAAAGTAGGACCAAAGGCCTCTAAAAAAACAATTTTTGAAAAGTACTTTTGTATCACATAAAAGCAGAAACTCTGATTTTGAGCTTCTGCGAAAACGTGTTATAAAAACATAAGATTATCCTTATCATATTTTGATTTTATTTCAGAAAAATATAATTGTCTTCATTTATATAATTATTTAAATTAAATAACTTAGAAAATAATATTATTTCATATAAAAGACACCTAACAAGATCTATTTTGACTATGTTTTATTTTTAATTTTTTTACGTATTTTATATTAGAAAGTGTTTTTTGTCATTCAACATGACCTCTTATATTAAAAAGTACTTCTAATAGTTTTTCAGTCAAACACTTAATTGTTGTTTTTGGAAAATACTTCCTTAAAAGCGTCAACCAAAAGTTGCTTTTGTAAAAGGTACAACAGAGCCAAACTAGCCCACGATAAGAGTATAATGTTTTTTCAAGTATTAGTAACTGCAAATTGACTATAAAATCTGTTGTGTCCGATTTAACAGGCAATATCTGAATTCCCTTATATTTGGTGGTGCTCAGGTTAAGTACCATCTGAGTTCAACAAGACTTTTGATTGCCTATATAAAAAATGTATATAAAGTTCTTTGATGAGAGTAAATAGTAGAAAAGCAGAAACCTAACATCACTAATGAAGAAAAATAACAAACAACAGAATGAAAGATAAAAAAGTAAACAAACAAACCGCCCATCGAGCGGGCATGACACTAGTATATAATAAAAAAGCAACCAAAGAGGAAATGATTGAGAGAGGATTAATTTTATATATATATATATATAAAATAAAAAAGCAACCAAAGAGGAAATGATTGAGAGAGAGAAAGAGGATTAATTATTGCAGGCAGGCCGGCAGAGGCCGGGGACGTACTGGTGAGAAGGACACGCCTGTCATTGGCGTAGCTGAGATGAAGATTGAGGGAGGATGAGTTGTTGTCGCTATTATCATCATCATTATCAAAGGGAGGAGCCTCTTCGGCGTAGTTGGTAGTATAGTAATTCACACCCAGAAAATCGAACGACCCCTTCACCAACTTGGACTCCTCTTGTGTGAATCTCGGCAGCTCTTCCCCACCAACTTCACCATGCTCTTTGGGTACTCGCCATATGTGATTGGATGCGCAAACCTAATTAAGTAGGGAGTTGCTAAAAGTCGCCCTTAAAATTGTTAAAGGTCGCCCTAAAAAGAATCAAAGTTACACTTTTATCTCCTTAGCTTCTTTACCTTCCCTTTATCAAACAAACACTACTTGGACTAAAAAAACACTATCTAAGGAGAGAAAAATCCATCGTCATTTTGAAGCCGATATCGTCGGAGTCGCTACTCCGACGAGGTAAATACATTAACTGAAAAAGGAAAAAAAAAAGAAAAAGGGAACCGCGGTCAACGCGCGGTTGAACCGACGGCTGACCGCGGTCAACCTGCGGTTGGACCATGGCCGGACCGCAAATGACTTGCGGTTGGACCATGGCTGGACCGCAAATCACCTGCGGTCCAGCCATGGTCCAACCGCAGGTCATTTGCGGTCCAGCCATGGTCCAACCGCAGGTTGACCGCGGTCAGCCGTCGGTTCAACCGCGCGTTGACCGCGGTTGACCGTCGGTCTAACCGCGGTTTGACTGCGGTCGGCACGGTTTTTTTTTTTTTTTTTACCTTCTTCTTCTCCGACGAAGCCTTCTTCTCCGGCGAAGGCTGTTGCGCGGGTGGGATCGCGGGAGTTCGGCGCGATGGAGCGAGGTGCAGAGGTCGCCGACGCGAGGTGGCAGGCAGTTGCAGAGGGTGATCGGCGCGATGGAGGGAGGTGCAGAGGTCGCCGACGGTTGGCAACGCGAGGTGGCCGGCGGTTGCAGAGGGTGATCGGCGGTGAGTCGGTGAACGCAGGAGTTTCAGAGGCGGTTGCAGAAGGTTTAGGGCTTGTTTGTTTCTTCCAATTTTGATTTTTTCATTAAGGGTGTTGGGGATGTATACATGGCCCGCGTGGGTTGGACCGATAGGGCCCAAGAGTAGAGTTTGGAAGGCTGAGGAATTGGACCCGGCCCAATGGGCCCAGAGGCAGAGGGAAAGTTGGCCCAGGAACAGGGAAGAGCTTCTCCAGACGGGTGGGGTCCGCAACCCTGACACGAGGCGCGTGCGACAGGTGGGCGCAGGGGTGTCCCAGGGTACGGGTCTGAGGACTAGCTGACGTCATGCGCCTGACCCTTCTGAACGGAGTGTCAGATGGTCGAGGCGCATGAGCGCTGGGCCGTACGGAGCATTAATTGCGGGTCTGGCAAGGGGCGGAGGAGAAGGATGTTGGTCGGCCGGGCTTCGAGTATAAATAGTCGGTTGGTGAAGTTCATTTACTCAGGTTGGTACTTCTCTCTAAAATTACTATTCACTTCTCTCTCTAGAAAAAGGAACTGACTTGGGCGTTGGAGTGCTAACGAGTCCTCCTCGGGACTCAGGTTAGCCGTGCAGCGTGCAGGTTCGAGCGTGCTGGAAGGGTCAAGCGCGAGGGTTCGGGTCGCCCAGTTACCGGGCTCGAACAATTGGCGCGCCAGGTAGGGGGACGCATAGGTATTGAGAAGGCAAGGTGTCATGGAGGCGCTAGGGGCAGGCGAAGGAGAAGGGGGACCGGCGGGGGCCGAGGCGTCCCGAGAGGCACCTGTGTTGTCGGGTGAGGCGCATGCGGTGGAAGACGACGGGGCGCAGGAGACTGCCCAATCCGAGGGGGTCACTCTCACGAAGGAGCACCTACTGCACATAGTCGAGCAACAGGAACAGGCGCTGGAGGCACTCAGGAGAGAAGTGGAAGTGTTGAAAAGAGGAGCTGAGGCGGGCCCCCCATTAGGAAAGAGACGGGACAGAGAGGACGAAGAGGAGGGGGCGTCCAGCGCGTTGAGGCGCATGGAAGACTTAGGGCACCTGACTAAACATATGGCCTCAGATTTCGACGAGCACAATGGATGGGCGCACCGACGACAGGGGAGAGCGTGGGGGGTGCGGCAGCCCCTCGCACGAAGCATACTGGCCGAGCAAGCGAACTCTGTCATCCCGGCGCTTCCCACTTACGATGGGGCGGCCGATCCGGAGGATCACTTGAACAACTACTTCACGAAGATGCAATTATACAACAGCTCCGACGCCACCTTGTGCCGCGCCTTTCCTTCGACGTTTACGGGCGTGGTGTTGGACTGGTACCATCAGATAGAGGAGGGGCGGATTGACAGCTTCGAGCAATTCGCGGCCCTTTTTCTTTCAAAGTTCGCCAGCCGGAAGCGCCGGAGCCTCACCATAAGCGCCTTGTTCAAGGTCAAGCAGCGGAAAGGCGAGGCGCTCAGGGACTTTTACGAGCGCTGGATGTCAGTAGCCATGGCGGTCAAGGATGTGAAGCCCCCGGTCCTAGGGTGCTGCCTGGACGAGTGCACCACGAGCGAAGAGTTGTGCCGAGCGCTGTCTAAGAGGGACGTGACGTCGACCGAAGATTTGGATCGGAGGGTGCAAAAGGTGATCATGTTGGAGGAAACATTGGCAGCAAGAAGGCTGGAGAGGAGGGACGTGCGCCCAGAAGAGGTAGAGGTGGCCAGGGCGCTTCGCCCACCGCCCGTCGCCACGCACCACCCACATTTCCCGGCAACCGCCCGACGCCCGGAACCACCGCGTTTTCCACCCAGGGGGGCTGGGAACTTCACCGAACTTAACGACTCGCTGAAAAACGTGCTGCAATTCGTGAAGGATAAGGGATACCATATTCGCTGGCCGGGGCCAATGAGGGGGCTCCCAAACGAGCAGAACCTCGACAGGTATTGTGAGTTCCACCGGGAGAGGGGCCACCACACTGCTGATTGTTATCAACTCAAGTCAGAGATCCAAGGGCTGGTGGATCGAGGAATGTTGAACGAGTTCGTGAGAAAGGGGGAAGATAGGACGCAGAGGGCCTTCGCAGTGCAGGAGGAGAAGAAGGGGGAGGAGCAGGAGAACGCCCCGGTTGAAGAAGGGAAACCCCCCATGGAAAAGGAAGTTCTGCCCCCGCCCCCATTTGACATAGAGCCCGAGGCACACCCGGAGCGCGTGAGGCTCACGATTGAGGCCATCTCGGGTACGCTAGACCTCAGACAGAAGCTTGACGAGGGTAGGCGCCTGAAATCGGCCACGGCGAGCGCCCGCGCGGCGGTACATATTCACTTTAACGAAACCCCGGAGGAGGCGTGTCGGGTGCCCTCCGTGGAAGCGCTTGAAGTCAGGGGGGTGGTGGCTGGATGCGAAGTGAAGAGGATGCTGGTGGATACGGGAAGTTCGATGGATGTCCTCTTCAGATCCACGTTCGAGAAGATGCAACTATCGCCGAGCATAGTCAGGCCGGCAGAGTCCGTCCTAATCGGGTTCTCGGGGGTGCCGGCAAGAGTGATGGGGCGTGTGCGCCTGCCGGTAACTTTGGGGGACGAGGCGCATCATGTGACGCACACGGTGGAATTCGGGATCGTGGACTGCCCTTCCCCGTACAATGCAATCCTGGGACGTCCATTGTTGGCACTCTTTAACGGGGTGGCGTCCCCTTGCCACCAAGTGTTGAAGTTCATTACCCCGAAGGGGGTAGGCATATCGCGGGGAGAAGCCTCACCGGAAGCACGGCTTGCAAAAAGGGCGCGCCTATACAATATTGACGTGCGCCCGGAAGATACGCCCAGGGCGGAAGCAGCTGATGCCGAGGTCCAAGTCCCATTGGACGCCGAGCGCCCCGAGCGGTGCGTGCGCATTTCGGCGCATACGAGCGGGGAGGCGGCCGAAGCTCTGGTGGAACTCCTGAAGGAGTTCGCCGATTTGTTCGCATGGAGCGCCAAGGAGATGCCAGGCGTGAAGCCCGCGATCGCGTTACACCGGCTGTCGGTAGAGAAGGGCGCACGCCCTGTGCAGCAAAAGAGGAGGCCCCTCTCGGAGGAAAAAGAAGAAGCCCTTCGCAAGGAAGTAGGAAAGTTACTCGAGGCAGGATTTGTGGAAGAAGCGCGATACATAACATGGCTATCGAACGTGGTACTGGTCCCAAAAGCGACGGGGGACTGGAGGATGTGTGTGGATTACACAAATCTGAACCGAGTGTGCCCCACGGACGCCTACCCCATGCCGCGCATAGACCAGTTGGTGGATGCGACCGCATATCATGAGGCGCTGAGTTTTCTAGACATGTTCTCGGGATACCATCAGATCCTTATGTGCGAGGAAGATAGAGACAAAACCGCGTTCGCGACTCCTTTCGGCAACTTCCGCTACAAAGTCATGTCATTCGGGTTAAAGAATGCTGGCGCCACTTACCAGCGCATGGTAAACACGGTATTCCAGCGACAAATTGGCCGAAACGTGGAGGCGTACGTGGACGACCTGGTGGTAAAAAGCAAGAGGAAGGAAGATCACCTGAGGGATCTGCGCGAGACGTTCGAAACGATGCGTGCCCACACATTGCGCCTGAATCCGTTGAAATGCGTGTTTGGGGCGGAAGCGGGGAAGTTCCTGGGCTTCATGATCACAAAGAGGGGGATCGAAGCCAATCCAAGGCAGGTGGAGGCGATCAGGCGCCTGAGCCCGCCGCGGACACCCAACGAGGTACAGGTCTTGAATGGACGCCTGGCAGCTCTGGGGCGCTTCATTCCTAGATCGGCTGACAAGGGCGCCCCTTTCTTCGGCGTCCTGAAGAAGGCCACGCGCTTCAAATGGACCAACGAGTGCGATAGAGCGTTCGAACAGCTGAAAGACCTGTTGGTGGCGCCTGCGGTCATGACGGCGCCACGAAAAGGTGAAACGTTGTACCTATACATAGCGGTTTCCCGGGCCGCCGTGAGCGCAGTCCTCATCTCCAGAGGGGGCCCGGACAAGGAGGAGCGCCCCGTGTATTACGTGAGCAAGGTCATGACGGGCCCCGAGACGCGTTACGCGCCCATCGAGAAGGCGGCCCTGGCAGTGGTAGTAGCGGCAGAAAAGCTACGTCCCTACTTTCAGGCGCACACCGTGGTCGTGCTTACCAACCTACCGCTGAAGGGGACGCTGGGCTCGATGGACGTGGCGGGACGCATGGTGAAATGGGCCGTG